CTTCCTGCCTCTGTTACCTTTTCCTTGTCATCTCTACAATAATGCACCCCCCATGGTCCCCCCCACCCTGACTCCCCTGTGTTTTCAGACCTGCTGCCCCTGACTTCCACATATGCCCCAAACGCAGGCTTTCAACTTCTTGTATCTCATGAGCTGGATCACTCTCTTAGATGTGATAGTTTTGCCGTGACTCTTCCTTTCCCCATCTCTGGAAATATGCACCCTCTGGAGGACAGTAAGATAAGCGTTCATCATGCTAGCATGTGCTAGCAACATGATTTTATTGTCACAAATTATTGATGTCCTCAGCAGAATATGTATATTCAGTCTACGTCAGCTGGAAGGCTTCAGATCAAAGATTCTGAAATCTAATTTACAATATTTTATCAGCAATTACCAATATTCAACTGGCCAATCGTATGAGCTCCATATAAATGATAGCCCAGTCCCTATGGCAGCAACTTTAGAGAACCAAATCCTCTGGAGAGCAGGGTTTTTTACCTCTTTTGTTTCATTCTCTCTCTTTACTTTCTAAAACAAATCCTGGCATATTTTAGGGACTCAAATTTTCATTGAAAACTTTTATGGTACAAAGACAATTTTATGGCTACACTAAATACTTGGATGCATACATTTAATTTTTTCCAATGTTATCTTCTTTTATTTTTTATGATGATGAGAATATTAAATATATTTGAAAAGAAGTTTAGCTCTTTATATGTAGAGCCCCAAAAGTATTTATACCTTGTGTCAGGGGTTGCAAATTTCCTACCCAATATCCAGGTTTTTTATTTTTTACTAACAAGAGAGAAACTGTGTCCAGCCAAACCACTACATTTTCCAGCCTCCTGGCAACAAGGTATGACCATGTGAATAAGTTTTTATCGTCACTGAGTTGTAAATGAAATTCTTGGGAGAACTTCCAGTGACTGCCTAGAAAGGGCAGAACACTGATGAAATCCCTTTTACTTTCCCTCCCTCGTTCCTCTTTCTGAATCCTAAAACTAAGGTTATGTTTCTACATCTTCTGCAGCCACCTTGGTTTCATTTAATCAGAAAGATTTCTTTACAGGGAACTGGAAACATACAGAATTTCCTGGTGGGCCAAGGAACCAAGCTTGAGGACTTGAGGACAGCATACCCAACAGAACAGTATTATTGAGCATTCCTATTTCCTTATTGTTCACCACTTGCCGTCTGTGATGGCAGATTATTGGCTCACGCTGGAGAAGGCCCGGCTTCCCCCCACATACTTTCAAGAAGATTCCATCTTCCTCTACTCCATCACCACCTCCCTTTCTTTCTTCTGCCTCCAGTCCTTGCAGCAGTGTGTGTGCTTGGTGGAACTCAAATCACCTTAGAAACTGTAGCTAGAGGGCAGTCTGGAAAAGATCATTTCACTTTCTATGTTCCCAGCCTCTAAAGTATGGGCAGACACATGAGAAGGGCTTGGAGTAGGTTTTGGTAGAACTAGTATGACGTATCTGCCATTTTATCAACCTGGCTTTTCCTGCAGTTCTTTGTGTCCGCACTGTCACTGTTCAGAGTTAGCAGGGACATGGTGCATGTTCAGCTAGTGTGACCTGCTTCATGCACATTATGTTGATGGAGGAAATGTTCTAAAGCCTAATAAAGAGAGGATAAAAACTGTTAGCCTGTTTCCTATTGCCATACTGAAAACCACATCCTAGCTTCTTTACAAAGAGTAGAGGTTCATTGGCTCATGGTAAGGAGGCTGGGAAGTCTAGAAACATGATGCCAGTATCTGGTGAGGGCCACACATCATCTTTCTTTCTGCATCATCACATGGCACAGAGCATCACAAAATGAGACAGAGCAAGTTTACCAGCTTGGGTCTCTTTGTCTTCTTTGCCTTCTTTTAAGGCACTAATACCATGATGGGGGCCCCACCCCCATGAACTCAGCTAACCCTGATTACTTCCCAAGGGCTCCACCTCCAAATGTCATTAACACATGAATTTGAGGTTTAAGTTTCCAACACAGGAACTTTTAGGAGACACATTCAAACCACAGTAAGAACTATCATTAGCATTTACAGCAGCTCAAATGTAACTGCAAATACCACCTAGCCAGAGTCAATCAGTAACTAGGCCATTGCAGTAGTCTCCTCTTTGTTCTACTCTATGGAAGTAGCCTTCCTCTCTTTTCTCCAGTGTGCCAGGGACACCCCACCTCGGGCCTTGGATCTGCTGCTTTGCCTGGAACCCTCTTCCCCTAGGTGTTTGGGTAACTTTTTCCTAGACATCATTTTTCTGGGGAACCTTCACTCAATACCCTTCACTCATTGAATATGCCCTTCCCACCAACTTCCTTCTCTCTTTCTCTTGATTTTTGTTCTAACCACTTTTGTTTCTGATGTACCATACTTTTGTATATCTGTCTGGTTTACAGTCTGTCCCTTCCTACCCCCTAAAAATGTAAGATCAATGCAGAAAGAGGTTTTTACCTCCTTTCTTCACCATTGTCTCTACAGACACCAGAATGGTATCTGGCCAGGGCTTCGTAAGTACTTGGTGAATGAGTCAACAAAAGAATTGGTTAAATTAAAGAACTGCTAGGCTGAAGAAGAAAGAATTTTTCCTATGGAAGGACTGAACATAAGGGATTTATAAGGAGACAAAAAAGGGAATTTTCTAGTGCCCCTTTCCCTCCAGACCTCCCTTGGGGCAGGAATATAGAGGGGCTCTGTGCCTGCCCCTCTGCAGATCACCTTTGGGCTGGGAAGGAGAGCAGGTTCCAGCCCTGACTCTGTCCTTCTGTTTGCTCCCCCCGACATTCCTGGTGAAGACACTGGCTTCTGGGAGTCCTTCCTTCCACGGTGGACTGCTGCTGAAGGGACGGCTCACAGTTGCAGAGTTACAGCCAGTGAGAGGAGCTCCAGGACTCAGGGGCTACACTTTAGCTCTGGCTTTCCTCTGGCAAGGCTCAGGGCAGTAGAAATTCTCTCACTCTCCCCATGGTGTGGAGCCACATGTGCCTGGGCATGACTGGCTGCAGGTTCAGGAGAGGATCCAGAGTCCACAAGGATGTCTGTGGCCACCTCCTCAGGACATCATATTCCACCTGTGAGCGACCTTGCCATCCAACCTTCATTTCCATGCTAAATACACAAGCATCCCCTGCATATTTCTCATGAGTGCCTTGAAAGAAACCAGGGACATTTTTCTTAAATCTGTCTGAAATTTGTTTTGGCAAAAGTTCTGAAAGCTGAAGACTTGAGAGGTTTGGTTTAAGTCATAATTTCATTGAGACTCAATAGCATGGGCAAACATTGGAGTACCCTCCCCATCGTTTCTGTCCTTGAAACTCTACCCATCCTGTGAAGTCAGATCCCAGGGCTGTCCCTTCCTTGGGGATGTCCATTATGAGACTGAAAGGGCCTTCTCTCTTCCCAAGGGCATGTGGCAGCACAGCAAGCTTGGCAGAGAAATGTCCAAGGTCCAGCTCAAAAGGTAGGATTTTTCCTTTCAGATGGTAACCATTGTTAGAAGGTTAGATGGAAACCTTGATGGACTTCTCAAACTTACCCCAGCCTCAGATTTCTCAGCTTTAAATAAGAATACATTGTACCCATGAAATTTGCCAAGACAATACATTTTAAAAGTTCTCACCACAAAAAAGTATAAGAGGGAGTAAACTATGCTAAATAGCTTACTTATCCATTCCACAATCTGCACATATATCAAAACATCATAGCATATATCATAAATGTATAATTTTTGACAAAAATTTTTTAAATGATGGAGAAAATAATAGTAGCTAACATTTAATGAGCACTACTGCCAAGCCCTGTGTGTTACTTTACATTTTCTACTTTATTCCATCATGCTCACCCTGTGAAATGGGGAATTTTGCTCTCCCTTCTTGGTACATGAGGACACTGAAGGTGGAGTGGGATGATAATATAGACCTTACTAAAGGTGAAGTTTAAACTTTAAAAGCACATGCATCATGGTGTGCAGTACCTACCAATAAATGTGAGTTCTTTCTCCGGGGTATTCATTAAACCACCTTGGGGTATCATGCTTACAACACTTGCCATATGTTGCCTGGCTTTGAGATGGTCCTGGAGAGAGCACAGGACAGAAGGTCAAGTTAGGCTTGTGGGGTGAGTCATTCCTGGGCTCCCACCCTTGGACAGGCACCTTGGTGTCCTTCATGGTAAAATAGGAGTAATGATGTTATTATGAAGATAGGTGATGATAATCCATAATAATGCCTGGTGTATAGTAGTTGTTATAACAGTGATGATGATGATGATGATGGTGATGATGATGATGTTGATGATGTTGATGATGGTGATGATGGTGACGATGGTGATGAAGATGATGGTGATGATGGTGATGGTGAGATGATGATGGTGATGATGATGATGAAGATGATGATGGTGATGGTGATGATGAAGATGATGATGGTGATGGTGATGATGATGAAGGTGATGGTGATGATGATGAAGATGGTGATGATGATGATGGTGATGATGATGATGATGCTGATGATGAAGATGATGGTGATGGTGATGATGATGGTGATGGTGATGATGATGGTGATGGTGATGATGATGGTGATGATGAAGATGATGGTGGTGATGGTGATGATGGTGATGATGTCGATGATGATGAATATGATGATGGTGATGGTGATGATGATGGTAATGATGAAGATGATGGTGATGATGATGTGGGTGATGATGGTGATGGTGATGATGATGGAGATGATGGTGATGGTGATGATGGTGGTGATGATGGCATCATTAAATAGAAGATTATTTTTCCATGAAAAAATGTCACACCATTTCAGTAGGAGGACACCTCTTTAAGGATAAAAGAAAAGAAAGACATAACAGTGGTGGGGTCAGCACAGTAATAAGTTAAATTGACCTGGCAGAGTTCATGCTTCAGGTCTGAAGAACGTAAAAGAACACATTTCTAGTGAATGAAAAAAAAAATCCATAGGAATAGAGACCAGATCTGAAAGATGAAAGGAGAGGTTAGAGTTCCAAACCCGACTCCAGTATAAGTGGCATGTCCGGGTTAAGAGTCAGCCCCCCTGGGTCCTTTCTGTACCAAATGTGCAACATCCTAGGAGCCAAAACAAAAGCTGTTCAGCCCAACCAAGCCCAAGCCAGGTGAATTTCTCCCACAAAAAAGAATATAATAACAACCAAGAACTGAACACATTTTTCATTAAAAATACTACATTTAAGTGTCTGGTTGAGTTGGGTAGGAAACACACACACACACACACACACACACACACACACACACACACAGAAACAGCTCCTTCCAGAAAGCAGTCATTGCAGCATGCTAAAAAGCTCAGTCTAAAGTTCTACAGGGTTCACATAATCTCAGCTGTAGCATATTTTTCACTCCTTTAGGTTTTAATTTCTTGGTTTATAAAATGAGAAAAAAGAAATGTGCCTACTTCCTATGTCAAAGGGTGGATGTGAGGATCGTATGCTTTAATGCTTGTAGAGCTCTTATCATAGTGTGCTGTATACTAAAACTAATAAAAGTAGTTTCAGCTTGGAAACAAAGATTTTTCCTTTTATTGGAATAAGTGACCAAAGCTCATGACCCTAATAATGGCAATAGTGAGAAATTATGTTTTGCACCCCAGGCAGGGGAACTAAAGCAAACATGCAGAGTGGAGAATGTGAAGTAAAGCCAGTTATCTGAGCAGGAGGAGGTGTTTGATATACACTAGCTGGATATATCTCAAAGGAGATGGTACTTTGGGACATGCTTCATGTCATCAAGACGCTTCCATGTCAACAATAAATTACAGTACTGTCATGGATTTACGCATTAGAAACAAATCCAACACAAGATTTATCTGAGTTCTGGTTCTAGGAATAATGGTCATCTGTTAACTCCTTGTCCTTTGAGGAATACAAGACAGTGATTATGGATTTTTACATTTTCACAGATTGCACTGTGATTGTAAAGGGAGTGGATAATATTGAGTTCTATTTTCTGTTGAGTGGAAAGAGGTCTAAGAAGTTAATCTCACTTTCTTAAAGTCACACAGTAGAAACAGAACCTCATCATCTTAACACTAAGCTCCTGACTGAATTCAGTAAAACTCACTGCTTTCACAGGGGCTTCAAGGGAACAGTAGTTCTGCTTCCCTTTTGTTTCATTTTCAAGAGTAATAATTCATCAATTTAGACCCATTCCATGGCTTTTCCTATCTCTGTCTCTGGATATGGCTTAGGGTGTTTTTCTCTCCCGTTTCTCAGTTAATGCGATGCAGGTGTGAGCCTCGTGCTGAGTGGGCTTAGAAGGCAGTGCAGTCCAGGGGCTCTGGGTCCACCCTTTGGTTTTCCATTACCAGCAGGTGAACCAAGCTGGGGTCAAATAGAGCTGTAGGGGAGAAGAGCTGTATTCCTGGGTGCAGCCCTAGCATCCAAGCAGGAGGCAGCAGGCCGTGGAAGGGAACTTGAGGATCAGAGAGATGGCTGTCCTGGAAGGAGCCCCAGTCGGTGGGCAAGTTTTATGTATCAGGAAGGGGGTTGGGGTTTGAGATAATGACCAGTCAAGATGAGAGAGCCAAAGTAGAGGGGTCTTGTAGAAACTGAGACACCATTGGTACCAGGCCTGTCATTTTATTTTAGTTAATTAATTAATTAATTAATTAATTTTGGAACCAGGGATTGTACTCAGGACCTTGAGCTTGGGAAGCAGGTAGCAGAACCACTGAGCTAAATCCCTGGCCCCCAGGCCTATTATTTTAAAATAAATGGACAGAAAAAAGCAGATCCCAACACAGGAAGCTGAGGTGTGATGATGTCCTGAGCCAGGAATTCGAGGCCAGTCTGAGCAACATAGAGAGATATGGGCTCAACACACACACAAATAAACATAAGGAAATGATGATCCTATAACACACAGGCAGAAAGTAAATGAACTAATAGAAAGATAAACTTTATTGGCTCCTGTTTTAATCATCAAGTTTCCTTTTCAGAAATAACAAACACATACTTCTAGAAGAACATACTTTGGGAAAAGATCAGAAATTCAGCAAAGTTTATTTTTAGAAAATGTCCAACACTCTGTTATTCTGTTATTGGTAAAACAATGGAGGCAAATTACATTCACAATTTTTCTCAATTATGACTATTAAATAATCTGTTAAAAACTATTGTTGATAAATCATTGCCGATTGTTCACTTAGTATAAACTCCTATTAAGTAGCATTTTGGGGTGAAAAGTATGCATACTTTCAAGTAAGCAAAATTGCATGTACATATGTGGTTTTTATGATTTCACTATCCTCCCCAAAAGACTGTGGCAATTTATATTCCCCCTGGTAGCACATGAAAATGCTCATTTTCCAAGAGGAGAATATTTAAAAGCCAAATAAACAATAAATAGAGTTCAATCCAGAAAACACACAAGTTTATAAAGCAAATCAGGTTTTTTTCCTACCACATGTTTGAATGACTAGGAGAAGTAAGTGCTGAGGGAAGGAAGGCTAAACAGATATCTTCTATACATATCAAATTTTGAAAAAATTCTTGACTGGAAAAAATAAACAATATGTTGGATGGTTTGTGCTTTACGAAAACTGATAAGATGCAATGGCCCAAGAGACGATATGTGATTTTATGCGTGGTATCATGTAGTCCCTTCTCTCCCTCTTACTCACTGGAAATGACAGAACTTGGACTGTGTTTAGCTCTGGATATATGGGAATGATGTTCCCCACATGGCCAAAGGGAAATGGCTCAGACACATGCATTCCTGAGGCCAACTGAGCTGTGTGGTCTTGGTGAATTCCTGTGTTTCAATAGAGGTAGCCACAGGGGTGGTGCTGGGCAAGGTTAGTTTGGAATTGCTTTGTCCAGGTTTAGTATTCATAAGTAGCTTTTGGTAGGAAAAATATGATTTCCAGGTATGTTGGCCATCTTTCTGTGTGGGTTTCTTATATCATCTTTTTCAAATATTTCTTTGGATTACTGAAAGGACACATGTTGTATTTTTCGATATTAAAAAAGAATATAAAAACAAAGACTAATATAAAATATCTCACAAAACTATAACCTAAATAATACCCTAAAATAGGGTATCATTATTTCCTTTATGATATAATTCTTTCAATCATTTTGTCTTTTATGTTGTTTCCTTGCATAATTAAACTTGAACATAGAATATATATATGTGTGTGTGTGTGTCTTACTTTTTCACAAAATACAATATTGCAATAATTTTATGTCATAAAACATTCTTTTAAAATGTATTTAATAAGCATCTGATAGCTCATTGTTTTTCTATGTGCTGAAGTAGGGAGATAGTTCTTTCTCAAATGGGAAGGGAATCAAGGGAAGGGAGTGAAAGGGGATGAAAAGTTAATTCATATGGGTTTGCACATGAACCAATACCACGTAACAGATGTAAACATTATATACTGTAAACATGTACTATTAAAAATAAGTAAATATAAAAAAAAATACCCCCCTCCCTAAAGAATCATCTACTCATTTAGTCAGAAAGCTGGACCTCCTCCTACCAATCATTGGTAAGGACTTGTAGAGGAGGGTTGTTGTGAAGTAGGGGTAGTTAATTCCTTGCTACTTCCTGCCACCATATGTATAGACTCTATCTAGGGCTTGGGGGGAAAGTCCAAGGGAAATTCATGCAGGCACTGACTGAAGCTGGGTGTCTTGAATGAGTAACATGTTTAGGGCCCAAAGGATATGGAAAGTTAACTACCTGTTATAAACATCAGTATCCTCAATGCAAATTTTGTGATATTTATTATTACCCCACCTTTTAAAAGTATATGTATATGTGAATGTGGACCATTGTCTTTCAAATTTCAGAGTATATAAGAAGTACTTGGAAAACTTGTCAACAAAGCAGATTCTAGAACGACCCCCATTGAGGTTCAGGAATCAAGTCCAAGGTTTGTTTTTTCACAGTACTCGGGAGTGAGCACAGGGCCTTCACACTGATCTACCTGCAAAATCTTTTCTTTTAAAAAAGAAAACTAGTTTTTGAGGCACGGTCTTGCTAAGTGGCAAAATTGCTGGGGTTGAAACTGAGATCCTTCAGCATCAGCCTGCCAGAGTTCTGGGACTGCAAGTGTGTCCTGCCACACCAGGCTGGCATTTACATTACATACCACAGGTGTCTTGGACACAGATGGTCTGTGGATCTCAACTTTAGAAACAATCCCTAGTCTCTCTAAGTATTGTACGCAAAACATAAGTACAAGGGAGAAATGTTATCTTAGTTACTTTCTTCATTGCTGACACAATGTTCAACTACCACAAATTAAAGAAAGGAGGTTTTTTTTTTTTTTAGTTCACAGTTTCAGAGGTCTCAGTCCATGCATGGTTGGTCAGCTCCAAGAGAAGAGTGGCTGGTGGAAGAGCCTGGCAGAAGAAAACTGCTCACATCATTGGTATCCAGGAAGCAGAGAATGAAGAGAGGAGTGAAAAAGGGAGACACATCCTTCCAGGTCACACCCCCAAGTGACCTACCTCCAACCAGACCCCACCTTCTAATGGCAAATCAGCTATGAATGCATCTTGGACTAAACCACTGATGAGTAAAACACCCCCATGACCCAATCACCTTCAAAAGCCCAAACACATGAGTCTTTTGGGGGACATCCCAGATCCAAACTGTAACAGTGTTATAGAGGTATCAGTGAACACATTTGAAATGGAAGACACAAATCTGCAGAAGCACCACAATTACTTCCAAAGTGAGTCACTAGTTTACAAGGAATGTGCTCCATTTGCAGCCACAGAAGGAATTCTTCATATCATTCTGTAGGATATGATTTTTCATTTAGATCAAA